GGGTCGGGGGATTTTAGGGACAACTAATTGAGCCCCAAGCCCTGAACGTCAAGCGTGGACGATGGTTGAGGTCGAGGGGACCAGGTTGCAGCGAAAATCGGAGTTGAGGGTTTAGGGGTTTAAGAGTTTAAGAGTTTAGGGGTTTAGGGGTTTAGGGGTTCAGGGTTTAGGAGTTTAGGGGTTTTGGGGGTTTAGGGTGGGTTAGGGTCTCGATTGCAGGGTATGAATTATGGGGCTCAGGAATGTCCAGACTGCCAGGCTATCGCAGGAGCTTTGCAAACTGCAAGGGAGGGTTTAGGCTTTACGGGTTCGGGCCCTAAACCCCTACACCCTAAACTTACATTGGGGCTTGTCAAAGATGGGTAACTTTCAAGACTGTCTGGATGATTTGTTTTGGGGCTTTCCGAGGATTCTGTAGGGGTCACTTGCTGGACCTTTTCTCACGTGCCACAATCCACCCAGGGCTTAGGGTTTAGGGTTTAGACCCTACCTGGACACCGAAAGTAAGTAAAATGATAGCCCAAAACCCCCAAATAGAGCCCAAAACACAATTATTCTACATACTTTTGGGGTGTAGGTAGGGTTTAGACCCTAAACCCTAAACCCCAACAAAAAAACAGATCTGTCGATCGGACAATGGCGCAGCCTCAACGATCCGGGTGCAAAAGATGAGGGCTTTAGATGCCACAGATTCTATTTTTGGGGTTTAGGGATTAGGGTTTAGGGGACCTAAATAAGAATTTCCAAAAAATTGGGATACCTGTTGGGAAGTGCCAATACTACGGATTTTTTTAAGGGTCTACATTGGGGTCCCCCTGTGTGTTCGGAAACTACCAAATGTCCATAGAGAGAGTGCTTGGATCCTTGGGGCAGCAGGATTCCAAGCAAAGGCCAAGGCACATGCAAGTCAGATCAGGACTTCTCTCCAACTCCCCGGAATAAGATACCTCAAGTATGGCCCCTTAATCCCCGGAACTTCAATGGGCCTTGGTCTAAACTCCTAGTATCCCCCTGAATAACCCCAAAGTACTCCCCTATATAACCCACTTTAAGGAGTTTAGGCTATAGCTCCGATGCCTATCCTATACACCCAAGCCAGGGCTGCCAGGGCCTAAAGTCGAACCTAGATCTGCGGAACAGGTCAGGGGCCATTTTAGCAGAAATAGGGCCACTTTCAAAAAAGCGTTCGCACAACGGGAATTCAGAAGGCTTTCAAAACCCTAAAGCAAAAATTCTAAAAACCCTAAACCCTGAATTTCTACAATAGGCGTTCTGATTGCAACGCCTCCTGCCCTTTCCTTCCTTCAGCCGCCCCTGTCCAAATCCAACCTGCAATACTCCGCTGATACCTTCCAGACACACGGAACCTCCACGTGAGTGAGGCTTTTTTTAGACTGGGAGCTACCAGCTGGCAGCCTTACAATAAGGCTTCCATAAGGATTCCATGCGGAGACTGGAAAGTATGGAAGGGCTAAGAGATGCTTAGATTGGGAAAATGCCTTCTTGAAAGATACTTACACCTGGGAATCCCGAATATGGCGCCCATCCTTTGGTGAAAACAATTCTCAACGTCATGCCAATCAAGCTAGGGTGTGACTCCTCTTTGCCTTAACCCCTCATCGCCTAAGCCCTACATGCGAAAGCCGAAGCATCTCAACCCCAGATCCCTAAACGCCCCAACACTACAACAAAAACTCTCAACCCCCGGAACCCAAAACTCCTAAGCACCCAAGCCCGTCAGCTCCTAAATCATGATGGCCTCGTTGATGCCCATGCTGCCCATGGCCTCAGTCGGGAGTTGCAATCAATTGGATTTGGGCCTTCAAGCCCGATTTTTTGGGTCCTTGGACCCTTACCTGGACCCCAAAAGTATGTAAAATAATGGCCTTTAGGGTTGTTATTATGGGTTTAGGGCTATTATTTTACATACTTTTGGGGTTTAGGTAGGTCCTTAGGTAACCCTAAACCCTGAACCTTCAACCCATGAGTGCAATCTCCCCGCCTTCCACCTCCAAATTTGGAGCTTCTCGACATGGGGTCTCCAGGGAATTTAGGGTGTAGGATTGAGGGTTCAGGGTTTAGGATTTAGGGTTGAGGATTTAAGGAACTATAAGGGATATTCAGGATGATATTAGGGTCCTCTTGAATTCCAATTCCACCACTACTAAAAGATGGGGGTCCTTTGAGGTGAGATGTGGGATTCTTAGAGGTTTTTGGGGTCTTGAGTGGAGCTTATAGGGGGATCATGGTGAAAACATCCAATACAGAACCTGCACTTCGAAAGGGTCAGGGCAAGCTATACTTGCTTGTTATATGGGTCTTAGGGTGGTTGGTTTCAACTGAATCTGCAAATCAAATCTTCCAGGATTTGAAGGTTTAGGGCTGAGGAGGATGTCAGCTTTACGTTCTTGTATGTAGGGTTTGGGGTTTACTACTGGAGGGCCTACATAACTGGAAAAGCTCAGAACCAAATGGAAACAAACATGGACATGACATGGAACGTGGGTTTGTGGTCTGCAGGGCTTGTACTGTAGAGGCCTAAATATTTGGCAGCATCGTTGCCTTGCAATCCTGATCTTTGTAAGTTTGATATACCCAAAAGTCCTCTTGAAATGACCTTAAACCCCTACGTGCAACCCCTACAAACCAAGTAAGCGCATCTGGTTCTTCAATATGGGAATTATCTAAACCCTAAACCCTAAACACCAGAGAACGCCCTACACCTGTTTTCCTAAGGTCGAGCTTTCGTAAGGAGACCCCGACCCCAAAATGGGGAAAATACTACTTGGGTACCTAGAAACCCTAAACCTCAAATCCTAAACCCTAATACCCTAACCCCTGAACCCCTAAACCCTTTTGCACGCGTCTTTTCCATCCTGCAGAGTCTGGAGCTGCTTCTTAGCGGCAAGGGTTGCAATCCAGCGGTTCCCCAAAATTAGGGGTACCCTTCTTGAGCTTCAGACCCCATACCCTAAACCCTAAACCCTAAAACTCTACACTCTAAAGTCTAATTAAACCCTAAACTCTAAGCCCTAAACCTTGAGCTCTAGACCATAAACCCTAAAACTCGCCTCACCCACCTCATTGGAATTCCTGTCGCTGGGGCCTTCCTTCACGCCATCTGCGAGCCCAGCGGCCATGGTAAATTTCTCCTCCGCGGGATTCAGGTAGCCCAGTAGGATCTAGAGTTTTACCTTTAACCCCCTAACCCTATAGTCCCCGTTAAGTAGATAGAATATGAGTTTGGGTACATTGCATTAAGATCCCCATGTACCCCATACTCTATCTACTTCAGGGGGACTATCAGTCCATAAGTGAAGAACAGTTGGGTCCCTAGCGTGGATCCTTCACCCTGGGGTCCCAGGGGGGTTGGGGTTTCAGGTTTACGGTGTCTGCCTTTAGTAATCCCTTCTCCTCATAATGAAACCTTCCACCCACTAGTACGAAGTATTCCCAACATATGACAGCATGCTGCAATAAGAGTATATCCTACCCTAAACCCTAAATCCTAAACCCTAAAACCCTAAACCCTAAAACCCTAAACCCTACACCCTGAACCCTAAACCCTTATAATTCATACCTTTAACGGACCCTAGAACCCACCTGAGCTAAAGCGCGCTATTAGGATAGGGTCTGATGATTGAAGAGCTAAAAAAGCATAGATAGGGTTTAGGGTTTAGGGTTTAGGGTTAGGTACACCAGGCCAAGAAATACTTCTTACTGTTGAGACCTCCCAATCCTACATCATCTCCATAGACTTTACTAGCATACTTCTCCACTATGACGTACTTGTACTGCGGCAGGACGAAAGTTCGT